AAAAAAAAAAGATTTCAACTGCGTAGGAAGGTGTATATGCCTTGGACTATTGACAGGCAATTCATATGTTTACCAATGAAAGCATGGATCCTAGCAGCAAGGTAGTTGAATTAAACTGGTGCAACCAATTTTGGATAGACAATTGTTTTCTTTCTAATAGCATCACAAAATGGTAATTCGCCAAGCAAGTTGAATTCCAAGTTTGGATAAGGAGCAAATAACGAAGGCTAATGATATATGCAAAAGGGGAGGTTTTAATCTATTTGTGGTCCTATTGTCATCTTCAGAGGTGCTTGTAGGACATATGTTAGAATTCTCATCAAAGTTCATGAACTAACTACAAATGGACCACATAGCAAGAAAAATTCAAGGTTGAAGAAGATAGAAATGGTACCTTGGCTTAACTAGATATATAATCATGAAAGCCATAGCCAGAAAGATACACAATCCACCTACTGTGAGATAAGCAATACCAAGAAAATCATTCTTCCCACCAAGCCAGCTAGTCGTAGAAAGTACGAGCTTCTTCTTGCCATTGAAACTGTAAGTGTTGTAATTATTCTGCAATATCACATTTATGGCTTCACCCTCCTTCAGATCCACCTCTATTTTCCCATACAACTTCCTAAAAGTTGGAAGAGCAGCAGTACGCATCCAAACAATTAGGTCCTCCTGCTCGCTTAGCTGTTATATGCAAAACATACATAAACATCAATGAGGCGCGACAACTCCCCACACCAGCATAGTATGAACATAACAAATGAAACAAAGAAATGCAATAGTATTCTAGGCCAACTGTAGGGAGATGGAAGATGGGAGTTGGAAACTAACCTATAACTTTTTATTTTGTGGCTTTAACCATTTAGTATCCAAAACTCATGTGCCTATCACATGTCCCACATGGTACTACCGTTTCCATTTAACCAAAGCCTTGGGAAACTGCTTGGTTTGATTATAAAATTTATACTAATTAGATTAATGATTATTGAATATTTAATCAATCCATAAATTTCATTAGAGAATGTGAGTGAATTAGTTGAATGAAATTCATACTCCCTCCGTTTCAATTTATGTGAACTCATTTGACTAGGCACAGAGTTTAAGAAAAGAGAGAAGACTTTTGAACTTAAGGTGTAAAATGAAGCACATATATTTTGTGCGGCTATAAATCATTGCATAAAGGTAAATTATTTCCAAATAGGGAAAGAGGTTATTCTTTTTGGCACGGACTAAAAAGGAAATAGGCTCACATAAATTGAAACGGAAGTATAATTTAACTCTTATGTGGATTGTATGGAATGAGAGAAATATGAGAGCTTTTGAGTGGATTGAAAATGATTTTGTACATTTGAGGAATAGCCTTTTGTCTTTGAATGCTTTTTGGTGCACCCATGAGATCCCTACTTGTATAGACACTCATTTTGTTTTGAAGAAGTTATATCCCGATTTGTTTTCAATGACTCAATTTGAATCTTTGTTCTGTGATGCTTGTGAATATGCAAGGCATACTAGAAACTCTTATCCTATGAGTGATAATAGAAGCACAACTCCATTTATGACTATTCATTCTGATGTATGAGGTCCCACCCAAACTGTTTCTTTGTCTGGTAATCGATGGTTTATTACTTTCATTGATTGTTGTACTAGGATGCTTGGGTATATTTTTTAAAAGCCAAAAATGAAGTTTTCTCTTGTTTTCAGACATTTCATAAGATTATTTTGTACTCAGTTTGATGCCAAAATAAAAATCTTGAGAACCGACAATGACAACATATACATGGATAAAGGACTTGGTGCTTAGTTGGAGTCCAATGGGATAGTCCATCAGACTAATTGTCCTTACACTAGTAGACAAAATGGGGCCGTTGAAAGGAAGAAAAAAAAGGCATTTCTTAGAAGTAGCAAGATTTCTTATGTTCACAACGCATCTACCAAAACCTTATTGGGGGATGCTATTCTAGTGGATGCCTATCTTATCAACATAATGCCATTTAAAACCCTCAATTTTCAAAGTCATCTGGATGCTTTAAAGGGTAAGAATGAATATACTATTCCTCCAAAGGTGTTTGGATGTGTTTGCTTTGTCCACACTAGGAATTCTGAGAAACTTGATCCTAAAGCTATAAAGTGTATTTTCATTGGGTATTATCTGACACATAAATGTTCTAAATGTTATCATCCTCCCTTTAGGAGATCTTTTGTTAGCATGGATGTTATCTTTCGAGAATTTGAGCTCTAATTCAGTATTATCTCATTACTTCTTCAGGAGGAGAGTCGTAAGGAGGAAGAGGTGATTTTACCTAGTTCCATTACTGGACCTCTTGATGACATTGTCACAGAGGAAAGTGAAATTGGAGAAAGAATTCAAGGGGAGATTTTTGGTCATTGGATAGGCCCGATTTGAAAACTTACTCAAAGAGAAATAGAATAGAAGAAGCCATCATGCAATCTACTCAAGCTGAACCTTCTACTGTCAGATCTTGTACCACCAAACACCCTTTATCTAATTTTGTTTACTATAATTCTTTGTCTCTTTCCTATAGAGTCTTTGCCTTGTCTATTTCTTCTGTGTCTATTCCCTAGAATTGGAGGGAAACTTTTGTAGATCCTAAATGGAAGCAAGCTATGATTGAAGAAATGAAGGCCTTGTCAAAAAATGAAACTTGGAAACTTGACACTTCACCACCAGACAAGAAGTTGGTTGGCTGCAAATGGGTCTTCACTATGAAGCACAAAGCTGATGGATCGATTGAAAAATTCAAGGCAAGATTGGTGGCTAAGAGATTCACTCATGCTTATGGAGTGGATTATCAAGAGGCATTTGCCCCTGTTGCTAAGATGAACACTTGTATTAGAATTCTTGTCTTGTGCAACTAACCTTGATTGGGACTTGCAACAGTTTGATGTGAAGAATGCATTTCTTCATAAAGACTCAGAAGACGAGGTATATAGGGAGATTCCTCCCGGATTTGATACTGCACAAAGTCAAGGAAAGGTATGCAGATTGAAAAAAGCCTTGTACGTACTGAAGCAATCTCCCAAAGCTTGGTTTGACAATTCTACAAAGCAATGATCTCCTTTGGTTACCAACAAAACAATGTGGATCATACCCATTTCATAAGACATCAAACGGGTAAAGTCACTTTTCTCATAATTTATGTTGATAACATAGTAACGGCAGGAGACGACAAACAAGAGATGGCCCGATTGAAAAAGTTATTGGCACATGAATTTGAGATTAAGGATATAGGAAAATTACAGTACTTCTTGGGAATTAATGTTGCTAGATCAAAAAGAGGAATCTTTATTTATCAAAGGAAGTATATTTTGGATCTCTTAAAAGAAACTAGTATGACAAGTTGCAGACCCGTAGAATCGGCCATTGAAAGCAATCACAAGTTACAAAGCGGAGTGGGAGAGTCAGTTGATAAGGAGAGATATCAAAGGTTGGTTGGAAGACTCATTTATCTCTCTCACACTAGACCAGACATAACCTATTTAGCTAGCTTGGTTTGTCAGTTCATGCATGATCCCCGAGATCCTCATATACAAGTTGTCTTTCACATTTTGCAGTACCTGAAGTCTGCTCCAAGGAAAGGTCTACTTTTCTCCAAACATGATCACCTCCAAATAAAAGTCTTTACAAACGCGTATTGGGCTGATCTCTAGCTAACAGAAGATCTACATCCGGTTAGTGTACACTCGTAGGGAGAAACTTGGTTACTTGGAGAAGCAAGAAGCAAAGTATAGTAGCTAGATGAAATGCGGAGGCAGAATATAAAGCTATGGTCTAGGATGTTTGCGATTTGCTTTGGCTACAAAAATTACTAGATTAATTGAGACTGTCTGAAAAAGGAAAACTTTCCTTGTACTGTGACAATAAGGTTGTCATCAGTAAAGTTCATAATCTAGTCCAGCATGACCGAACAAAGCATGTGAAAATTGATCGATACTTCATCAAAGAAAAAATTACAACTGGTGTCTTGAGTTTGTTTCATGTGCCATCAGAAAAACAGTTAGTTGATATTTTTACCAAGGGTCTTAACAAACTGACTTTTCAAACACTGGTTTGCAAGTTGAGCATGTGCGACATCTTTGCACCAACTTGAGGGGAGTGTTGACTGGCTTAATTATTAGGAAAGATTTGATTCTATTGAGATTTGATTTTATTCTGATTGATGGTAATTGATTGTAAATTGATTATAATTTATTTTCTTTCCTAAAATAGTCATACGACCTAGTGTATAAATACCTTCGCTTAAGGATGTAATAAATACACAGAATACAAGAAGCCTTTTCTTCTTCTCAATATCTACAGAAATAACAAAAGAATGGTGGAAAAAGAGACAAGCAAGCATCAAGGGTGAAAACTTCCAGCTACTATTACATAGCTATATAATTTGGTAAAATAAGCTGAGTCCACATTTTAATGATATACTTCAGCGGGAGGGCGAGTGCTCTGACATCGTTCCTATGGACAGCAAAGTCTATAAAAGGAGTTCTGAACTAGGGCTTTCTAGGTGATGAGAAGTGCCTAGTGTTGCCTTTCTTTGGAGATGGAAGCAAAAACAAGAACTAAACTTGTTCGGACAGGAAATCTCAGCAAATTACAGCTCTTTTTTTAATCTTGTCTTACACACCTTAGATACACAAACAGACAATGTCACATAAGAAGGCACTCCCAAGCACATGATCAAGAGAGTATTCCAGAGATGAAAAAAAACCCAACAATTCCTTTGATACTGGAAAGCACGGGAAATTACCACACCTTCTTTTTAATCTCGTCTCGCTAAGGGATGTGTAGACAATATCAGTTTACAACATATCGAGCCAGAAGGAGACAACAGTTAATCAGGCTTGTAAAGAACAAGACAGTGGAGGTCTTTGGGGTTTAACATTTTTGGGATTTTTTTACAAAATGTACCAAGTCTAAGAGGCAAAAGAATTCCAAAGATTGATGGAACTGCTAAAAAACAGAGCATCACATAGATGGATCATGATGCTTGGAAGTAGGAGAGGTACGGAAAGTAAGATCTTCTTGGTTTGTCCTATTTCTAGAGCGTCAAGGAAGATATGCTTGTTCATATTGATGGAAGCAACAGACGCGATCCCAACCGCTAATATGATTTGCATAAAAGGAAGTAGCAGATGTCAGTTGGCTTCATGTACAAAAGGGCGAGAGGAGATAGTATTAAACTCTGGTGTACTGTATTAAACCTATTAGGAATGACATGGTTAATAACATGAACAATAAGGACGTTGCACAGTTGGACTCATAGAAGAAGGCGAACAAGATGTAGAACATGAGATGCAACTCTTTTGGCCTTTATGTGGGTATCCTGGAAGAGGTAACAAAAGAACATTTGAAGGGATGGTAAATGAGCTTGTACAGTTGAGGCCATTCCTTTCACTTTTGGGGCTCTCTTTTTTGGTAAGGTCCTTTTCCTTTTGGTCAATTATAGTGCACCGACAAAGTTCCAGTTGGTATAAATGATTAGATGTCATTCCTAGAGAACAATATTATTATGTAGGTTCTTTATTTTTTATACACTACTTTATACTGATTTTTTTTTTCCACAAAAACAATGATTATTACTTTACTAGAACGGTGATAAATATGAAGGGAGATTAGACAATTTATTGTGCCTAAATGCAACCAATTGAGATATCCGGCCTCAGTCTTCAAGAGATTGACATGATGTATGAAGATGTGACACAGAAGCAAAATAAGATGTTTGAATTGGATGAATGATGCAAAAGTAATATGTGATAAAAAATCACCTAACAAAGTGAAAGTAAGCTAATTTAACAGTATTGAGACCAAGCTACCAGCCAATGCTATATTGAAGTGAATGATGGTTAACATATCCACAAGATGAGCATCATATAACTACGAATACTAGAATGGAAAATGATCATAACTAGCAGATGCTGCAAGTACCGTAGAGGATAAACTGAGAATCACCTATGATGGTTTGGTTATTTCTTACGTTAACCACCACATGCTTTGGTTGTAAATGCGACATTATGATGATTGAAGACGCTAAAAAGAGAGGAAGTAGAACTAAAATCACATTGAGAGACGTTCCTTCCAAGGACATACAATCCTAGGGAAAGAATGCAGAACGAAAGCAAATGATCCATATACATAATACCATTTTAGTTCATTCTTTTTTGGAAAAGGAGGTTTATTATTTAGTTATTCCCTCCGGTCCACTTTAAGTGATTTTTTGGCTCTTTTCACACATATTAAGGAATTCACCTTTTAGCATTAATTAACAATGAAATTGTCCATATTAACCTTAATTTGCTCATTGGAAATATAACAAACTACTCCTAGGCTCTTGTGGAAAGAAGAAGTTAACCTTCTTGATATCTGGAAAAAATCAAATATTGTGAACCACAAAAAAAAGGCCACAAAATCACTTAAAGTGGACCGGAGGGAGTATTATTATTACACTTACATTAGGTTCGAAATTTGTCATGAGTCCTTTCAGTCTGGTAAGTCTTGGACGCTTAGAGATAGTTGAAGAGAACCTCTAGCTTTACAGAGCCCCTTATTTGTAAGCAGCGTAGTTTCGAAATGATTTGAGCTTGGAAAGAATGAAATAGTTAAATAGGATTTATATAGTCGACCTCAACTTTGTTGGGGAATTCAGCAAAAAGAAAAACTTTGTTGGGGATCGAGGTGTTTGCTAGAGATACACAAGCACGGAATATCACACACCAAAGACACTCTGAAACACATGGTCAAGAAAATAGGAGCTCATTAACTCTTTTTCGGCCCACTCGTCTCTAAGGCAGTTGACATAGACCTATTTACATTATTATGACACATTGCGACTTGATCTCCAACGAACCTTCGACTGTATAAGAAGTTCCTTTCTTTCCTTCCTTGTTCTCTACTGAAAACAATTGATTCTCTCCTTCTCTAATCTCTAGGCACTCAGTTCTTTACAACTCTCTCTCTCTCTCTCTCTAACCCCTACCACCCCCAAGGTTTAATTTGCTCATTACTGGACAATAATGGACAAATGGAAAAATAAAAGAAAGCAAAGGAGGGGACATGAGATCAAAGAATGGAGGGTTCTCAACCAAACAAAAGAATCATGAATCCATGTCAAACTTCTTAAATTATCAAATGCATCCCAAAATTTGGTTTTGTTTCATGAAAAAAACAAGTGGAAACATCATTTCTTTGTGCCAAAATCAAGGCCTATACTGAATAGTTCCAGAAGAAAGAAAACAATAATACTTTTCAATAATTGTTCCCAACTACCCATTGCTTCGAAAATTTGAAAACCAAATAAGTGTCACCAATCAGGCCTTAAGTTTCCAACATGACAATCATAGCATTACTTTGTCTCTTTATCTTTTTCTTTTAGCAGCAAGAAAGAAGTTAAAAGCAAGTACATTTCTGACTATACTTCTACTTCTGAAGAGTGGAGTCAATCGCATAGGTCCACGAGGCAATCCATTTATTAAGACTGAAGAGTGATAAGCATATATGAGAGAAAAATTAGCCCCTCTAACAAAATATCAATTTAGCAGTTATGAAACAATTTCAGATTAAAAATCACATATTATATATAGGCATGTGGTGACAGGATTTTGGCTTCAATACTAAGACTACAAAAAAAGTTTGAGAGATATATTTAAGTTAATTCCCAACTATGCAAAAGCTTACTGATTTGTTATAATCAAGCTTGCCACCCCCAACGAGAGTCCCATTCTGGAAGTTCCTTGGGAAGACATTTTTCCCAAACTTGTGATCCTTATCGCTCTTCCAAGCAATATCTTTCTTGTTTACAGGCAATTGCTGATTGCTGCGAGAAAAGATGTAAGTATCATTAAACAAACTCCAAGCTATTAGGCCACAAGGAACAATTGGAAGCCCATTTGATTTGTCTTCAGGTTCACAGGAACCGGTGTCATCCATTTTACTTGGGTTCTTCAATTGTTGGTCACTTCGACTCTTCACATATCTGAATAAGCATCAAGGTTAAAAACATGAAAACCTATCAATGAACCATCAGTCAACAGAAAAAACAGGTAAAATTCCATCACGTATCATAATTATAAGCTGATAGGAAGATCTTGCTTCTCTGAAAAGGAATTACATCTCTGTAACATGGAAATCATGTATAGGACAATCCAAAATAGTCATTAACTAGATTGATATTCATAATAATAGACCAAAGTTGCGGTCATGTTATTTGGTAAACTCCATCAACTGGATGCTAGACCACCAAAAAGAAGCTGTTAATTTTCACATAGTAAAGCATCTCTTCACAAGCACCTGCGATGATTCTGATAGAAGTTGTCAAGCTGATAATACACATAAATCGGCTGCTTCATATTTTTTGGTACCTAAAATTAGTCAAAAACAAAATAAAATTACTACTTTGAACAGCGAGACCAAACAATGATAATAAAAAAAATAACAAACTGTGCAGCTCAGAGGACACATACTGTTAGAGTTCTTTTACATGTTTTACTTTTAGAACTTTGTATGTAGCCAACTTCATCATCAGTTGAATTTTTTGGTATGCACTCAGCATCATACCGATCAATGATCTCAACAACCTGATAAATTGCCACATGATTCAGATTTAAGAATTTGAAAAATAAGAAATAAGAAGTCTTAAGTTGTAATTTAGGACATACATCTCGAGAAGCAAACAGGGATACCACTCCAATTGGAATGAAAACAACACCGACAAGCAAAAAAGCAGAAATCACCTGCCAATTAAGGAAATAAAATTATAAAATGATGTCACATAGTTTTGAACTAATTACTGGTGAAGATAAATTGCCAACTAACCCATTTTGGTGTGAGGATTGGCTTACATGCTGGAAGTTCCTGCTGCGTAAACCTTGAATCTGAAGTAAAATGCAAGTCAAATAAAAATAAGTTAAAAACAAAATCACTCAAAAGCAGCAATCTCTGCCTCATCATAGAATCGAATTAGTTGAAGGATGGTATAAATTACCATAGGGATCAACTTCTTAATTAAAGGCACAAAGTGAGAGCAGTAGCTTTATAAAAAGAAAAAAAAAGGGGGAAATTAGAGAGAAACAAACACTTAGGTCGCTTGGAATTTCTTCTAGCTGCTGTATTATCGGCAGATCCGGCACTCGATGATGGAACGGCGTTTGAGTTCATTACTCCAGCTGATTTTCAAGTTGCAAATAATTAGCCCCAAAAAGAAAACATAACAAAAAAAGTTGTTCTGAGTTGAAATGCTGGATATAATCCAGGTTTCTGTCGATGAATTGGGGCAGTGCCGATCAGCAGTTGTGGTCAAACCAAGTACTCGATGGACTTCGGACCCGGTTTGGTTTCCCGGGTTTAGCTCTTCGATTCTTTGGAGTCTGGACCCTTTTTTCGAGTTCACACGGTCACAAGATAAGAGCATTAGAGGGGTAATACTTCACCATCTTTGACTTGACGAAAAAATCAGAAAATATGTCATTTCTTGCCGAAAATTATTTTTCACAAAAACCAGTACTCCCTCCGTTCCAGTTTATGTGAACTTATTTCTTTTTTGGTCCATTCCAAAAAGAATGACCCGTATACGGTAAAATTGGAGGGTCCAATTTTCTATCGTTACGATGTCTCGAAGGCTCAAAAACACGATCGAGTTTCATCCCTCGAGGCCCATCGACGCTCGACCTCGGAGCAGCACGAACTGACGGTTACAGGGAGAAAGTGGGGAGTTCCCAAGGCGCACAACTAGGGCTGACAAAGTCTGGTGAGCTAAGTTCATACCCGAATCATGGCGTCAATTGTTGTCCCATCCCCATATCTGTGTAATAAATGCACTTGTACTATGTTGGGATTCCCCCCTCTTATATAAAGGAGATCCTTGTCATTATGTAAACGTCTGCTGCTCGTACTAAATACACAAGAACATTCTCTCTACTCTGTAACATATTCTCTTGATCTCATTACTTCATTTATCGCTTATATTTATTGTGTTCTATTTATTGTTCATCATTTATTGCTTATTATTGGCCATAAAGGGCCGCCATTGATTTATTGTAACTGTTAGTTGCCCCTCGACAGCTCCCAACCGAGCTTCAAACTCGACCCCGAGGCCCTCAAATAGGCAAGCTCAAGGCCCCGATTATTGATCATTCAGTTTGGTTATCACCTTGCTCTCAAGATCTTATCTCATTTCTAAGTTTTTCATATAACATCAACAGCTTAACAGCTAGCATAAAAATAGATCACGTATTTTTAGAACCACTAAATCAAATTTAATTGTTATTACCATTTTCACGGTAAACAGTTTGGCGCCCACCGTGGGGCTAAAAATAATAGTAATTATCTCCTTGCTAGTTTTACTACACAACGCAAGTTATCTTTCACACTTTTTCTTGCCTAAGATCTTTGATTTTAGGTCAAAATGCCTGACTCGGTAAACAATAATCTCGAGAACTATGAAGAGAATGGTGTGGATGTTCCAGGTGTTGGTGTGCCACCGCGAAACCCTAAGAACGCATCAGAACCAATTCTCGTGGACGCGGTCTCACGCGATGCTCAACACGTTGATGTAAGCTCCCACACCAACATGAGCGTGCTCCAAGGAGACCAACAAGAAGCTCAGGAAACCCTAGCTAGGAAAGAACGGGAGGTTAGTCTTCATGTTATTTTTGAAATGTTGCAGGCACAACAGCTAGCGATTGCTCAGCTGCAAAGTCACCAGAAAACTTCCAGCACGGTAGCGCCGGGGACGGCTCCCCCAACCGAGCAGGTATCAGAGAGATCAAGCAGCAACGGATCGGCAGCC